ACGAAACAATTCTTCACTGCCTTGGGTCACTGTGAACTCTGAGGGAAGGGGGTGGGTTGCTTAATCCCCACTGCACAATGGAACAAAGGACCATGTGCTTACCAGGAAGTTAACTCAGAAAAATACTACTCAACTCAAAATCACAATCCAATGCAATCCTTCAAAAATACGCAGAAATATGCAATACTGGGGCCACTAACCCTTTGTGGGAATGTTCTGGGGTGCAGGAAAGGATATATTGACTAATTATATCCTGATCCAACTTGTGCTAACAAGTTCCCAAAATATCAGCAGAGTTTACATACATTCCCCTTTAGTACGCAACGGTAACGTGTGCACAGGTTCGCTAGAACCTCTATAATAATTACCCTGGTAATTTCCCCTTTAGTTCCCTCTTAAAATACAAGACACGACACAGTCTTCATAAAAGTATAAAAGAGTTTACTCACGTCCTGTTCACAATGTGATCCCAGACGGCAGACAGGCTTAAAAAGGTTACATAGATTTAGAATCTATCTCATAGCAAGATAGGCCTTATCTCCTCTCTTGGCTGGGAGCCAAGAGGGCATCCTTAGGTGTTTCCTCGTCGAAGGAAAATGGCAGAGAGAGAGAGATGGCTGCCTGCCCTGTGCTTTTTGTCATCACCTGCACAGGTGAGGCCACACCCACCTCTGGTCACATGCGGAGGAAGTCCGTCCCCAGGAAGTTTACCTGCTTGCTGGACAGACATCCCCCCCATGTTCTAAACATGTACACTCTAGGAATGTTGTCATTGACTGCTTCTGTGTTTACATCCCACAGGTCATACATCTACAGTAGACATTAACTGACAGAAAGCAATTGCCAAGTTGCTAAAAGATTTCAAATTGTTAGGGCTTAAACCGGGGCCAGCCCAAGACATTTTTGTCCTTGAGGTGAACAACGAAATGGCTCTCCCCTGCCACCAGGGAAGAAGGGGTGAGTGAATATGTCCATCAGGATCAAGGAGTGGATAAATATCTCCATCGGGAACAGGAGTGGGGATCAAATAAATCTTAATCAATGGTTGAAGTGGGAATCAAAGATTGTTGTGGGATTGAAAGGGGCCCACCCTGAATCACACTGGGTAAGTGCAGAGCCCAGGAGACACCAGAGGGCAGTCCCTAGGGGTGAGAGGAAGAAGAAGAAGAGTTTGGATTTGATATCCCGCTTTATCACTACCCGAAGGAGTATCAAAGCGGCTGACATTCTCCTTTCCCTTCCTCCCCCACAACAGACACACTGTGAGGTGAGTGAGGCTGAGAGACTTCAGAGAAGTGTGACTGGCCCAAGGTCACCCAGCAGCTGCATGTGGAGGAGCAGGGAAGCAAACCCGGTTCCCCAGATTACGAATCTACCACTCTTAACCACTACACCACACTGACCAGCAGCATCTCTTATTTCCTGAGAGGCCACTGTAGAGGCAGCATGGATGTTGCTGAAAGGAGGTGCGAGATATGGCCTCTACAGCTATCTGTGAAACTCTCATGCTCAGCACCCACTAACAATTTGAAATCCCTATTTTCATCAGAGAAATGTTGGAGGGTCCATAACTTTTAGTGTCACAAGCTGGTGTAGTAACCAAGAGATTGATTAGGATGTCTCTGGTCTGAATTGTGCTTTTGGTATGAACTTATTAGGTAGCTTTAGGCAAGGCCTTCAAAACCCCACCCCCAGTGCAAGGATAATAATACAGATCTATTTCACGGGGTTAAGGTAAGAATTACAATATAATACATGTGGAGTGCTTTGTATACTCCAGAGCACTATATAAATGCTAATTCTTCCAAAGAGGTAGCTATGTCAGTAAGCTGCAGTAGAAGCAAATCTTACTTTGAGCACCGTAATAACTGGCAAATTTATGGTGGCAGAACCTTTCATGACCCACTTTGAGCCCACTTTGTCTAGGGTGAAACAAGTCTCTTAATTAAGACCGTAATAAAAAACAGATATCACATAATGCGCAACACATTAATATGCCACTACAAATAATATATAACCCCAAGAAAATATTATACTATTAACATAGGCAGTACCTAACAATGAATATACATACATGTGTGTGTGTGTGTGTGTGTGTGTGTGTGTGTGTTCTGGTCGGTTTTATTTTAGTAATTATTGTTCCATAAAATGATGAAGAGAGTCTGTTTTTCTTTACATTGATTGGCTCGAGGACTGCAAATTATTGAATGCAAAGTATGTTAACTATGGAGACAGCAATTTACCAGATTTTTCTAATCTAATCTCTGGATTTCCAGGAGAATGCAACATCTCTCTTAACCGAGAGATGTTGTTTGCAGATGATGTGGCCTTGACAGTGCACTCTGAGGAAGCTCTACTGAGACTCATCAACTGTCTTGTGCAAGCCTCCATAGAGTTTGGCCTCGCCATTAGCCTGTCAAAGACCAACATCCTGGGTCAGGACATCATCAGAACTCCATGCATCAGCATTGGTGACAAGTGTATTGGCAAGGAAAATATGATGCTAACCATCAATACAAAGATGAAGGTCTATGATCATCAATACAAAGATGAAGGTCTATGACCGTACAGAACAATCTTAAATTTGCAGAGGAATATATCCTTTGGAATTATATACCCAAGACATGGAATCTAACAAAGGGACAATATACATGGACTTTTTGTGTCCTTACTATGGCAAGAAGACGGGTATTGATGAACTGGGAAAATAAAAACCCAACTCCCTTTAATGATTGGATTAAAGATACGGTATGTAGAAACTCACTACACATGAACAAAACAAAAAAATTCCTTCCAGTAGCACCTTAAAGACCAACTAAGTTAGTTCTTGGTATGAGCTTTCGTGTGCAAGCACACTTCTTCAGATCTGAAGAAGTGTGCTTGCACACGAAAGCTCATACCAAGAACTAACTTAGTTGGTCTTTAAGGTGCTACTGGAAGGAATTTTTTTGTTTTGACTATGGCAGACCAACACGGCTACCTATCTGTAACTACACATGAACAAGTTGTGCACAAACATAGACTTGCCAAGGACAAATTTAACGATTTTTGGAATTCATTTTTGTAAATACCATATTAGATTAAGGTCTGGTTAATTACAATAACAACTCCCCTTTTTGTAATGTACACAATATCTTTTATTGTTCTGTTTTGTTTTCTACATGGGTACTATTTCTTCCAAATGTGCTGTGCAAGAAAGATCTGGAGCGCTACATGGCAGGACAGCCTCAAACAAAGATGTGCTCTCCCAAGCCCACATTCCCAACAAGTCCAGTCAAAGGCGACTATGGGGTGTGGTGCTCATCTCATTTTCGGGCTGAGGGAGCCGGCGTTTATCCACAGACAGATTTCTGGGTCATGTGGTCAGCGTGGCTAAACTGCTTCTGGTGCAACGGAACACAGTGACAAGTGCCAGAGAGCATGGAAATGCCGTTTACCTTCCCGCTGCAGCGGTACCTATTTATCTACTTGCGCTGGTATGCTTTCAAATTTGCTATGTTGGCAGAAGCTGGGAGAGAGCAATGGGAGCTCACCCCGTTGCGGGGATTTGCACTGCCAACATTCCAATTAGCAAGCCCAAGAGCAGGGGTCAGCAAACTTTTTCGGCAAGGGGCCGGTCCACTGTCCCTCAGACCTTGGGGTGGACGGTGGGCTATATTTTTTTTGGGGGGGGGGAAGAAAGAATTCCTATGCCCCACAAATAACCCGGAGATGCATTTTAAATACAGTGGACGCTCGGGCTGTGAACGTGATCCGTGCGGGATGCACGTTTGCAACCCGCAGCGGAGTGTCTGCGCATGCGCAAGTTGTGATTCGGCACTTCTGCGCATGCGCAAAGCGCGATTTAGCCATAGCTGTCAACTTTCAGATTTGAAAATATGCGATCGGCAGCCTCAAAAATAAGGGATCAGCAGCCTCACCTGTCCCGGGGATAGTCTACGGGATATCTAACAATCCGGGATAGCAGCTGGAAACGGCACTGGAATAAGGAAATTTCCCACAAAAAAAAGAATGCTTGACAGCTATGGATTTAGTGCTTCTGCGCATACGCGACCCCCGAAACCCGGAAGTAACCTGTTCCGGTACTTCCGGGTTTCGGCGGGTCCGTAACCTGAAAAAACGCAACCTGAAGCGTCTGTAACCCGAGGTATGACTGTAAAAGGACACATTCAACTCATGTAAAAACACACTGATTCCTGGACTGTCCGAAGGCCAGATTTAGAAGGCGATTGGGCCGGATCCGGCCCCCGGGCCTTAGTTTGCCTACCCATGCCCAAGAGGCTCAGTGCTTTGACCACAGCGCCACCCACCTCCCTCATACAGTGGTACCTCTAGATACGAACGGGATCCGTTCCGGAGCCCCGTTCGCATCTAGAAGCAAACGCAACTAGCGACGGCACGTCTGTGCACATGCGCGTCGCTATTCGTCGCTTCTGCGCATGCGCGTGACGTCATTTTGAGCGTCTGCGCATGCGCAAGCGGCAAAACCCGGAAGTAACGCGCTCCGTTACTTCCGGGTTGCCACAGAGTGTAACTCAAAAGCGCTCAACTCGAAGCGCATTCAACCCGAGGTATGACTGTACAGTGGTACCTCGGGTTACATACGCTTCAGGTTACATACGCTTCAGGTTACAGACTCTGCTAACCCAGAAATAGTACCTCGGGTTAAGAACTTTGCTTCAGGATGAGAACAGAAATTGTGCTTCGGTGGCACGGCAGCAGCTGGAGGCCCCATTAGCTAAAGTGGTGCTTCAGGTTAAGAACAGTTTCAGGTTAAGAACGGACCTCTGGAACGAATTAAGTACTGTACTTAACCCGAGGTACCACTGTACCCAGCTCTCCTTGTTGGACTACAACTCCCAGCATCCCTAGCTACCAGGACCCGTGGTCCAATAGCAGCGGGAGACCCGAGTTTGAGAAAACACTGCAGGGCGGAACTCTTTGTCTCCAGCCACGGGGAGGTGGAGGGAACCGGTGCAGCGACGCTCCCGGTCCGGGTGACGGCGCCGCCTCCGCCACGGCGGCCTCAGGAGGGAGAGAGCAAAGATGGCGGCGGCGGCGGCCGAAGACCAGCAGCGGCCGCTGCAGCCGTTCGCGGCCGGGGCTGCCGCTTCGTCGGGGGGCGCTTCCTCCTCCTCGCAAGGGTCGTCTGGAGGGCCCGGGTCCAACCCTCTCTCTCGCAAGCTCCGCAAAGTGCTGGAGACGCGCTTGGAGACGGACAAGGTGGGCGACCTGTGGTCCCTCCCGCCGTATCTGAGAAATAGGCACCGGCTTTGTGAATCAGAGCCATAGGGAAGGCATCGTTCGTGTGGTTTCTTTTCTCTAGGGTGCTTTTTTAAAAAATGACTGGCTTAGTTGACGGATTCCCCTTTTCTAGCTGGTTATGAACAACAGCGCAAGCCCTAACCAGGTCTACTCAGAAGTAAGCCCCGTTGAGCTCAGCGGGGCTCGCTCGCAGGCAATGAGGGGTTCAAATTGATTGAATTATAAATTTTTTTAGACTAGACACCACCATTGAAAAGGCAGGGAAATGTAATGAAGTAGAGAGGGACCTTTTTTCCACATGTGGTGGTCCTGTAAAGGAATCAGGGGATTCTGGGAAGTAATTTACAATGAATTTAAAAGATTTTGGTTTTTTTTAAAAAAAAACCTCCCCACCCCCAGGCCCGAGACAACCTTTTTGGGAATGGTAACAATAGAAGTCCCTAAAAAAAAAATTATTATATGCCACCACTGTGGCTAGAATCTTATTGGCATGGAGAACGAATACGGTACCCACCAAGGAAGAGTGGCAGTTTAAAATGCTTGAATGAGCTGAATTGACAGGCGTTACTGAACTGACTGAATACATCAGGGGTGTCCAAACTTTTTTCAAAGAGTTCTCCTTTTTTTTAGGCTTTTACCCCAGGAAATAAACTGCCATGGAGCCAGGGGCAGGATTAAACCGATTAAACCCGTAGTTGAATGCAGCTCAAGCTGGACTGGTGCCCTAGAATTGGTCTTCACAATAGTGGACAGAGTTTAGCTTTACTTGCAAGTAATTAGTTGATTGAGTTGACTATGGCATAATTATATCAAGTTGATGTTTATATTCAAAAATATGTGGAGTATTTAATCTATATATTTGCTATTGTAAACTATATTGTAAAGATACTTTAGCATTGTTAGATTGTGATTTATCTGGAAAACTGAAGATGTTTTCTGTGTCTTCTGATGTGTGTCTTTTTAAAAAAAGAAGTCCATTTTGTATATGAACTGTCAACATGATCTTTATATATTTTGATAGGAGATGTTAGAAGCGCTCAAGGCTCTTTCAGTCTTTTTTGTAGAAAATAGCCTGCGTACTAGAAGAAATTTACGCGGAGATATGGAACATCGCAGCTTAGCTATAAATGAAGAATTTGTTCACATTTTCAAACAAGTGAAAGAGGTATGCCATTTTTATTCATTAATTCTCTAAATATCCAGCAGGAAGCTGACAGTCAAGGGCCTCTGTAAACCCACCTATATGTCCCTGAGGCAAATGACTGGCTGATAATTCCATTGCTTGGTTCTGTTCCCCTCTACTGTACCTGTCTAATTTGCGGAGAGATGAAAGAAGCACACGAGATATCACAGGGAAACTGGACTAGACTTGGTTGTGGCTAAATATGTTCGTGTTCAGAAAGCAAAAAACAACCACATTGGCCAAACAGGGAACTTGTGAAGACAATCTTGTTAAGAGTACGATGAGAAGTAGAGTGTCTTGTTTCATGAATACATGTAGAAAAAATACTGGCAGCTATCCTTTTCCTCCACTTTTCTCTATCAATGGGTGCCTCGCTCACTGGGCACTCTCATTGGCCACGGTTCAACACCCCCTATGAGCATGTTCACAAAATCTATATAAAATACTACCAGATCTCCATTTGCCACCACAAATTTTGTATAGAGATTACTATTGCTGCCTGCTATCCTGTACAGACTTACCTGGGAGTCAGCTTCATTGAAGTCAATGAGTCTTACTCCTGAGTAGACGTTTATAGAGCAACACCGTTAGTTGTATCTCTGGAGCTATCCAGCACTTGTTGTTAAGCACGTATGCTAAAAGTGTGTACAGTGGTACCTCGGGTTACATACGCTTCAGGTTACAGACTCTGCTAACCCAGAAATAGTACCTTGGGTTAAGAACTTTGCTTCAGGATGAGAACAGAAATCGCACGGCGGCAGCAGGAGGCTCCATTAGCTAAAGTGATGCTTCAGGTTAAGAACAGTTTTAGGTTAAGAACAGACCTCCAGAACGAATTAAGTTCTTAACCCGAGGTACCACTGTAATACTTTCTTATACTGCTGTGCATCCAGTTTCTCCAACGCTGAAAAACCAAATCTGGAGCTTCAGGGAGGAAGAATCATTGGCTATTCTTATCAGTGATTGTATCATATAACAGTGAAGATTATGCTTGTTAGGGAAACTGTCCGATAGTTCTGGTGTTTCAGAAAATTGGTGGGGAGGGGGGGGGAGAGAAATGTGGAAAAAGCAAATCTCAATATGAGTGCTAGTGTTTTAGGCTACTTGTCTGTTTCTGTCCTCTTTCAGGAACTTGAAAGCATAAATGAAGATGTGAAGTTTATGAGCAACTGTTGCCAGGAGATGACCAATCACTTGAAGGTAAAGAATGGATTTGTGTGCAGATGTGGTAATTTCTGGCACACTGGGACTTGGTAGTTTCAACAGCACAGTACTTTCCCCCAGTACAACACATAGAGATCACTTTTGATCCCAGTGTGATTTTTTTTTTTTTTACAGCCATGGGAATTCTAAGGCACAAAAGGACCCCTTGCATGAAAAGAGGTCCCCATTAATTTCTATGGTCTGTTTTTGGAGCCTTTCACTGTTCAGGAATCTACTCCATCTAGTGAAATCAAAAGGGCATTTTGCATGCATAAGAGCTCTCTGTGCACATTATTCTGAGCTTGTGTGTATGTAAATCACCCAGGTTACGTTTCTAAAACACTTTTCCTATGGATCATTATGATCAGTTTGATGGGATCATCAATATTGTTGTCAGGTTAACAGGGTGGATATGTTCTTGTTACATTTGCCACCTGTCATGGATGCTTTTAGTTGAGATTCCTGCATTGCAGAGGGTTGGGCTAGATGACCATTGGGATCCCTTCCAACTGAAGAACTCTATGATTTTTATCCCACCCTTCCTTTCATGGGTTCCCTTTTTATCCACACAAGTATCCTGTGAGGTAGATTAGGCTCGGAAAGGGTGACTGATCCAAGTTCATGTCTTCAGTGAGAAGTTGAACCTGCATCTCCTCAAACCCAAACCAGCACTCTAGCACACTTGCTACACTTCTGTATTGCACTGGGCCCTATTTCTAGTATTAGGAAGATAGTACTAGGACTTGCTGATCAGAAGGTCGGCGGTTCGAATCCCCGCAGCGGGGTGAGCTCCCGTTGCTCGGTCCCTGCTCAAAAGCACGTCAAAGTGCAAGTAGGTAAATAGGTACCGCTCCGGCGGGAAGGTAAATGGCGTTTCCGTGCACTGCTCTGGTTCGCCAGAAGCAGCTTAGTCATGCTGGCCACATGACCCGGAAGCTGTACGCCGGCTCCCTCGGCCAGTAAAGCGAGATGAGCGCCGCAACCCCAGAGTCGGTCACTGCTGGACCTAATGGTCAGGGGTCCCTTTACCTTTACCTTACAGTAGACATGCAACTTAAGCACATTTACTTTGTGCACATTTACCTGCTTGGAAAAAAAGGGGGTTAAGCAGTCATCCGGAAAAAGAAACTTTGGCAATCCCACCTGCCGTTGCACCCAGTATGTTTTGACTATGCACAATTTTGCCTTTATGTGCTATTTCTGTAATGAAACCACTGTATATGTTGTGGGTCTACTGTATATAACGGGTCAGCAAAATTTTAAGTAGGGGGCCGGTCCACTGTCCCTCAGACCTTGTGGGGGACCAGACTATATTTTTTTTGGAGGGAGAAATGAATGAATTCCTATGCCCCACAAATAACCCAGAGATGCATTTTAAATAAAAGCACACATTCTACTCATGTAAAAACACGCTGATTCCCGGACCATCCGTGGGCCAGATTAAGAAGGCGATTGGGCCCCCAGGCCTTGGTTTGCCTATCCATGGTATATAAATACAGAAAGTGCATATATTGGGTTCTGCCTTTAAGAAAAATGTAGCTTTATTTGTTTCTGAAGCTTAACTGCCTTTCTGTTCACTGTTCTACTGTGCTTAAATGACTTATAATTTGGTTGAAACAGCAAATGAAAAAGTAGAAATATACCGTAAGACCTTAATGGGGTTTAACTGTAATTATTCTGGTCTCTACTCCAGGCAACCAAGGAGCAAACCCAGGATTTAATAGAAAAGACAACTAAGCTTCAAGCAGAGAAGTATGTATTTGCCCCTTTTGTTATATTTATGTCAAATCAGAATGCTTTTCTGGATTCTCCCACATTTGTACTGAATGAAGTTATCTTAGGGCTACTTCCAGTGGTCATTTTTATTAAACTGTTCTTCAGATATTTGCCAGGGGATATGCATCTTTCCCTTTTTCTAATCGCAGAATTTTCAGAATGAGAGAATTTCGCGTTAACTCAATTTGCATAATATTGTGTGAGCATTCAAAGGTCCTCTGAGTATAGTTTCTGAACTTTAAAGAAGTATGGTTCTTGGACTTTTCAGTTTCTCAATAAGAATGGATATCTATTCATTACTATTTAAAGTAGACACGATAAGTATCAGGCTATGTTCAGTAAACTCAGTTATGCGATGTAATTTAAAACAAATTAGCTCAATAATTGAAATTGCCAAGAATGCAAAGGAGGGTAGCAAGTCTTTTTTTTTTTGTTAGCGGCCCAACATCTAGCTTTTACTCACTGAGTAGAGGTAAAGGGACCCCTGACCATTAGGTCCAGTCATGGCCGACTCTGGGGTTGCGGCGCTCATCTCGCTTTATTGGCCGAGGGAGCCGGCGTACAGCTTCCGGGTCATGTGGCCAGAATGACTAAGCCGCTTCTGGCGAACCAGAGCAGCACACGGAAATGCCTAAGCACATCAAAGTGCAAGTAGATAAATAGGTACCACTCCGGCGGGAACATAAACGGTGTTTCTGTGCACTGCTCTGGTTCGCCAGAAGCAGTTTAGTCATGCTGGCCACATGACCCGGAAGCTGTACGCCGGCTCCCTCAGCCAATAATGTGAGATGAGTGCCCCAACCCTAGAGTCGGCCACAACTGGACCTAATGGTCAGGGGTCCCTTTACCTTTACCTATCTATATATTCTATTTTGAAGTAGTGATGTATGAGGCTCATTCAAGACAAATGTTTCTGGGAGTATACCCCATAGAACTCGTTGGGACTTCTTTGAGTCGACACACATATATGACTGTGCTAGAAGTTTCCCATTTTCAAATTTCAACCTTTTAATTGCAGCCAAAGGTTAGAACTGAAAGCACAGATAGCAGATGCTTTCATAGCAGAATTCCAGCTTTCTCCAGAAGAAATGAATGTCCTTCGAAGCACAAGAGATGGGCCCGTTACAGAAGTAAGTACCATGAGCATGCACACGATAATATTCTAGCTTTAGCACTTGAGGTGGGACCTTTCTATTCCATTTACCTTGTTCTTTCATATTGTGCGTTCCCTATAGCTCCTAATGTATCATAAAGAGTTGTTAATATGATCAAAACTGAGTATTTAACCCAGACATTCACCAGCACTTTCATACTAAAACTCGAGGGCTAAGCATATTAATGCTAGAATCTGTAAGTTAAGCATATTTGTTACTGAAGACTTGTGTTCATCAGTTATATATTTAAAAAGCCTGACAAGCATTCTCTATATGCTAAGCCTTACTTCTTCATTATGAGTTATAGGTTATGAGTTTTTAACTGCTTATGGGTATATTTTTTGTGCTAGGCCCATAATTTTGTGTCTGCATGATTCCCTGTTCTACCTATAAAAAAATCAAAATACTACCAGCGATTTACACACTCTTTCACACACACACTCTTCTAGTCCTACCAATAAAAAGGAAGAAATAAATCTTCAAAAAGTGAAACTCCTGGCACACAAAGGTTGTTGAGGTTTTGGCAAAGTTGTTGAGCTCTCTTTAGTTCTGCCCAAAGTTGTTGCACTTTTTTTGGGTAAAATCTAAAGAGAGGGAGAGAGTGGGTGTGTTTCTGAGCTATTTTTAAATGAAATTTGTCAAAATCTGCTCTGTTGGCATGGGCTGCCATATGTCCGGTTTTTCCTGGACGTTTCAGTGATTTCCACCTGGGCACTGTTTGCAAGGGCTGAGTACTGGCTGTGTTCACGAAATTGCAGACATATGGCAAACCTGCTTCCTTGAAATGATACAATATGAGTTAACTCATAGACCATGCCTAGTGGTTTTCTTTAAATGTAGGCAAAAACATACCTTGATGTGTATTTGGGAAAATTATGTTTGGGATGGTGGTTGTGCAGTAAAACTCTTTTTTTTAGTATTAATAATAGTATTGCATTGTTTAGCACTGAGATCTTGCCTATCCTCCCACTAGAAATTCCTTTAACTGCAAAGTTTGTGGCCTATAGTATAACGATCTGGGAATATTTCTGTATGGACAGTTTGCTTTAATAAAATACCAGTGACTTTCAATCTTGCGTTTCCTAGGACTTTTTTAAGGTATTGGGGAGAGTAAAACAAATTCACAGCGATGTCAAGATTCTTCTGCGCACAAACCAGCAGAGATCAGGGTGAGTTCTCACCGAAAAACTACAAAGCAATGACTGAAGTAGTAGTCATCATTCAGTTTAAGCTGTATAAAGTGGGCTGTGGATATATTTGGAACGGGGAAATAGCTCTAAAGATTATTATGTGTTTAAAGATTTTTTTATCTTCATAAAACACTTTAAAAGCATTTAATTGTTTTAAATTTGCAGCCTAGAAATTATGGAACAGATGGCTTTGCTTCAAGAGACTGCTTATGAGCAGCTTTACCGATGGGCTCAAGGTACCTTAGTTTTTTTGGATAATCCTTTTTCTTGAAAAGATGCTTATTTAAAGAATGTTAGCAGTGCTTGATATTAACCACAAGGTGGCAGTCTTGGATCACCTACCAAATTCTATAGCCTCAACATATTCATTACACTCGTATTTAATTCTGGGATATATATTTTTTGTTAATGTGTAAGATTAGCCAGTACTATTTGGTGCACCAAAATCATTATGGTTTATAGAAACATTTATTTTACTGTATTTATATATTGTTTTTCAGGAGGACCTTGCATGCATATAATTACATAAAATAATTAAAACAATAAGCACAAACAACTACACAATAAGACAAAATAGACAAATGGGAGGTCTTCGCTGCGGGATCACATTCACCTGGTGCTATACCAGCTGCACTGGCTCCCGGTGGAGTACAGGATCAGGTTTAAGGTGCTGGTTTTAACCTTTAAAGCCCTATACGGCCTAGGACCCTCGTACCTACGGGACCACCTCTCCTGGTATGTCCCACGGAGGACCTTACGGTCTTCAAACAAAAACATCTTGGAGGCCCGGGCCACAGGGAGGTTAGGCTGGCCTCAACCAGAGCCAGGGCTTTTTTGGCCGTGGCTCCAATCTGGTGGAACTCTCTGTCACAAGAGACTAGGGCCCTGCGGGACTTGACATCTTTCCACAGGGCCTGCAAGACAGAGCTGTTCCATCAGGCCTTTGGCCAGGGCACAGCCTGACCCCTCCTTTGGCAATCCTCACAGAACTCTTGCCCAATGGTTGCCATTAATTTGATTTGAACTGATTTTATAATGAAATGATTTTAGAATGTTGTATATTTTACTTTTGTTAGCCGCTCTGAGCCCAGCTTCGGCTGGGGAGGGCGGGCTATAAATAAAATTTTACTATTATTATTATTATTATTATTATTATTATTATTATTATTATTATTAAATGTTTGCAGTCAGCCTAGCAATACTAACTTCATCAGCATTATCTCTTCTCGTTCTATCTTTCAGCCACCCACCCCACTACAGGAGTAGGTTAATTTTATAACAGGAATGTTTTAATAATAATAAAATTTATTACAGTCCCAGACCAGATTCACATACCGTACTACGCAAACATAAAACACAATAGAATTAAGTTTGAACTGACAATCGAATATGACAGTAAACAATACGAATATGACAGCCATTAGAAATGTGGTTTAGGTTTTAGTCTCTAAAATATTATCTAGAGTTTGCATCTGAGGTCTTAAAAAAGGTAAAGGTACCCCTGCCCGTACGGGCCAGTCTTGCCAGACTCTAGGGTTGTGCGCTCATCTCACTCTATAGGCCGGGAGCCAGTGCTGTCCGGAGACACTTCCGGGTCACGTGGCCAGCGTGACATCGCTGCTCTGGCGAGCCAGAGCCGCACACGGAAACACCGTTTACCTTCCCGCTAGTAAGCGGTCCCTATTTATCTACTTGCACCCGGGGGTGCTTTCGAACTGCTAGGTTGGCAGGCGCTGGGACCGAACGACAGGAGCGCACCCCGCCGCAGGGATTCGAACCGCCAACCTTTCGATCGGCAAGTCCTAGGTGCTGAGGCTTTAACCCACAGCGCCACCTGCGTCCCGGTATCTGAGGTCTTAGTCTTTGTAATAGCACAGCTTGTTCCCTGAGTTTTAAGGCAGCTGGAATGTTGGAATGTTTTAATGTTCTAATATTTTAAGCTCCCTTATTAGTCCCTAGGCATCCTGATTCAAGACCTGCTGATTTGGAAATAACCACGTATGTCTCAAAATGACAGCCCTGGGCAGGACTCCTAAGTTTAGTCTCCTAGGCCTTGAGATGAGGAATTTTTAAAATACTGTATTTTTCTCTCTATAAGACGCACCCGTCCATAAAACGCACCTAGTTTTAGAGGAGGAGAACAAGAAAAAAAATTCTCTCCCTCTTCAGCGAAGTGGCAGGAGAAACGGAAGGGGCTCTTTGCTGAAGGGGCGCTGCGCAGCTCTCGCTGAAGGGGCGCTGCGCAGCTTTCCCTCTCTGTACAGAGCCTTTACAGCACTGAAGAGGTGCTGCACAGAGAGGGAAAGCTGTGCAGTGCCTCTCCAGCAGAGCGAAGTCAGAACAGCAAGAGGGATCGCTGCGCAGCTGTTCTGGCTTCTGGGATAGCCGTGCCAAGCCTCTTCAGGCTCTTTGCAATGCAAAGCCTCTTGAGTGCAGCGGGAGGAGTGCTCCCACTGCGCTCAGGAGGCTTTGCCTGGCTATTGCTGAAGCCAGGAGAACAAGAGGGATCGGTGTACACCGATCCCTCTTACTCTCCTGGCTTCAGCGAAAGCTGCGCAGCCTGCATTCGCTCCATAAGACACACACATATTTCCCCTTACTTTTAGGAGGGGGAAAAGTGCGTCCTATAGAGTGAAAAATACGGTAAGCGTTTTAGTTACAAATAGGATTGCAACAACTTTCATTCATTATTTTTAGAACGCTGTAAAGATTAAAAACATTGCTTACTATTGGCCTGATCTTTTCTTCTTTGCAGGCGAATGCAGAACTTTAACCCAAGAATCCTGTGACATTTCTCCAGTTCTAGCTCAAGCAATGGAAGCTTTGCAAGACAGGGCTGTTCTCTATAAGTATGTTGCCTATCTTAGTCGCAGAACATAATGTCACCAAGATCAATATTCTGGGGGCTTCATCCTTCTGACCACAAGCTAGCTTAAAAAGTTCATTCATGGTGGAATTGAATATGTCAAGGTGTGGGACTTTCCACCACTCTACATCTTTTGTGCTAAAGATTTGGGATAACTACCTATCAAATCACAACAGGGAACTTCTTTATTGCTTGCTATGTTATGTTATGTTATGTTATGTTATGTTATGTTATGACTTTCCTTTTTTCAGCAGCAGTTTACGGATTTTTAAAGAATGTTAGCAGTGCTTGATATTAACCAAAAGGTGGCAGTCTTGGAACACCTACCAAATTCTATAGCATGCATAGGCAAACTCGGCCCTCCAGATGTTTTGGGACTACAACTCCCACCATCCCTAGCTAACAGGACCAGTGGTCAGGGATGATGGGAGTTGTAGTCCCAGAACATCTGGAGGGCCGAGTTTGCCTGTGCCTGTTCTATAGCATCAACTTTCTTTTTCGTTTAATGAAATGCCTTGCTGAAATACATCCTGATATTATTTCTACATTTTTATGTCTTTATAACACAAAGGCACAGTTCACATGTAACATCAGACTCTGATTTAGTGCTAGTTGGATGAACTTCAGCAATTTGAAGCAGAACGTCAGATTCATGTACTCCCCTTGCCTTCTCTACCCCCCTTTGCCCCCCCCAAATAAAATAGCTGGGAGGAGAATCTCTGGAAAGTTTGGTTTCACTTTCAGGAATCTGAACTTCGCATTACGTTCAAGGGATCCTGGTTTAAAGAATAATACAGTGGTACCTCTGGTTACGTACTTAATTCGTTCCGGTGGTCTGTTCTTAACCTGAAACTGTTCTTAACCTGAAGCACCACTTTAGCTAATGGGGCCTCCCACTGCTGCTGCGCAATTTCTGTTCTCATCCTGAAGCAAAGTTCTTAACCCGAGGTACTATTTCTGGGTTAGCGGAGTCTGTATCCTGAAGCGTATGTAACCTGAAGCGTCTGTAACCCGAGGTACCACTGTAGAATCATAGCGCTGGAAGGGGCCCTGACGATCATCTGGCCCAACCCCTTGCAATGCGGGAATATGCAGCTGTCTGTTACGGGGATCAAACCTGCAACTTTGGCCTTATCAGCACCACACCCTGACCAACTGCGCTATACCCCTGTTAGCAAACTTATTTTCATAATAAACCAGCTTCAAACCATGGGTTTAAACAAGGATCCCTGATTGAAACCTAGTGCTAAACTGGTGTCAGTTAGGCTTAATTCGGCCCATGTGTTGCAGGCCCCCCCCTTAAAAAAACCCTCTGCCACCAATATAATGCAGTGGTACCTTGATTTACAAACTTAATCCGTTCCAAAATTCCATTCTTAAACCAAAGCTTTCTTAAACTAAGGCGTGTTTTCCTATAACAGCAGGTGACTCAATTTACAAATGGAACACACTCAGCAGGAAGCGGAACATGTTCTGCTTCCAAGGCAAAGTTCACAAACCAAAACACCTACTTCTTGGTTTGCAGCGTTCTTAATTCGAGTTGTTCATAAACTAAGCTGTTCTTAAACCAAAGTACCACTGTAGTTGCTTATATTCCCATATTTTCTAGCTTAGGCGGTCATTTCCCATCTGGAACCACATGATTAGCTCATCCACATATTCAGGGAACCTATTGTCTTTTGAAACAAACCACCAGATCCTGTGTTGGGAGGCTGAGGCATGGTACCAACCAATTTCACGCCGTGATAGGTATTTTCGGAGCTCAAGTGGTGAATTATTCAGACAGCTTATTTCTGTGCATAGCATACTTACCGTATTTTTCGCTCCATAAGACACACTTTTTTCTTCCTAAAAAGCAAGGGGAAATGTCTGTGCGTCTTATGGAGCTAATGTGTGGTTCCTGGAGCCGAATTGCCCAGGGGGGAAAAGCAGGTCATGTTTTTTTGTTTTTGTTTTTTGAAAGAGGGAAGTGGGTGTAGAAACAAAGCCACTGATCGTTTGCCAATCGGGGAGAGAGATAAGGGACACTAGAGATAAAGGAGGCTGCCTGGGAGGGGGGAGGTAAAGACAGCAGACTTGCAAAGGAGGGAAACAGGAAGACTAAAGCAATAAGGAGAGAAATTAGAAGAAAAGGAGGAGCAAAAAAACTGCTCCAGCTAAGGAAAAGACACTAAGGCAAACAAGAGGGAAGGGAGTGTTGAAAGGAAACAGCTGATCAGTGGGATCAGAAGAGAGATAAAGGATGCTAGCAGAGGCTGCCTGGGAGGGGGGAGGTAAAATCCCATGGATCCTCAGGATTTTTACATTGGGTCACCCCAAATTCACTATCAGATCACATAGCATGTCCATGGCTACAGCCTGCACCAAAAAAAATCACACATCCACTGTTTCCTGGGGCTGCAATGGAGCAAAAATGTGGTTACAAAGCACGGATCCACATGGATCCTCAGGATTTTTGCATTGGGTCACCCCAAATTCACCATCAGATCACATGTCTGTGGCCACAGCAAGAACCACAAATATCATACATTCACTGTTTCATTCAAAATATTTTTTTCCTTGTTTTCCTCCTCTAAAAACTAGGTGCGTCTTATGGAGCGAAAAATACGGTACATTCCCATAAAGCAAGGCACCTTAATGACTGGAGTGGCAATTTAAAGCACATGCATTTTAATAAAGTGCCTCTTCATTTCCACTGCAGATACACTCTTGATGAGTTTGCAACAGCCAGAAGAAGTGCTGTGGTCCGTGGTTTTATCGATGCTCTTACTAGAGGAGGTCCAGGAGGAACCCCCCGGCCTATCGAAATGCATTCCCACGATCCTCTGAGGTACAGCAGTCATGGAAGCGTACGCTGCATCGTGGTTTTGCTGCTAGAATAACCATTTAATGCAGCAGGATGTTTTGGTTTTTGGTTTTAGATATGTAGGAGACATGTTGGCTTGGCTGCATCAGGCTACTGCTTCAGAAAAAGAACATCTGGAAGCCCTGTTAAAACATATCACTACTGAAGGTATTGCTCAATTTCAGGAAATGTGTGTTTTAAATCAGTTTTTATTGGTTTTCATACATATATCACACATTATTCAACTTAACCAAACAATCGTTTTGTAAATTCCCCTCTTCCCCTTGGCTTCCCTCCATTTCCATTTTTGGTTTGTTAAACCGCTTGTTGCATTCTGCTGCTTATATATAGTAATATATTATCACATTGTTGTCTTACTTGTTCTCTCTAATTACATTATGTATGTTTATTTAAGCCCTGCCAAAGAGTCCATACTTTTACTTTGTTTCTACAAGTACCGTATTTTTTGCTCTATAAGACTCACTTTTTCCCTCCTAAAAAGTAAGGGGAAATGTGTGTGCGTCTTATGGAGCGAATGCAGGCTGCGCAGCTATCACAGAAGCCAGAACAGCAAGAGGGATCACTGCTTTCACTGTGCAGAGATCCCTCTTGCTGTTCTGGCTTCTGAGATTCAGAATATTTTTTTTCTTGTTTTCCTCCTCCAAAAACTAGGTGCATCTTGTGGTCTGGTGCGTCTTATAGAGCGAAAAATACGTTATGTTACAAAAGGTTCCCATTCTTTTCCAAAGTCACTATTATCTTTTTCACACAGTTTATCTGTCAATTTTGCTAATTCTGCATATTCCATCAATTTTCCATGCCATTGTTCTTTGGATGGTATTTCTCCCATCTTCCAGTTTTGTGCTATTAAAATTCTTGCTGCTGTTGTTGCATACATAAATACCGTATTTTTCGCTCCATAAGTCTCACTTTTTCCCATCCTAAAAAGTAAGGGGAAGTTTGTGTGCGTCTTATGGAGCGAATGCAGGTGGGAGACTCTGCTCAGCACTTTGGGGGCTTTTCCCCAGGAGGGAGAAAGGACTGACGGGCTGCCCTTCTCCCTCCTTGGGGAAAAGCCTGCAAGCGCCGCACACACACTCCACGCGGCTCTTTAAAGGGAGCGCTGAGCAGAGCCTGGGATGCATACAGGCTTTGCTCAGCACTCCCTTTAAAAAATTTTTTTCTGGCATTCCCACTCTAAAAACTAGGTGCGTCTATGGAGCGAAAAATACGGTAGTGTCCTCAATTCTTTCTTCACATCGTGTCCTAAAATACCCAGCAGAAAAGCTTCTGGTTTCTTTACAAATGTTATTTTAAACCTTTTTTTTTCCAATTCGTTCCAGATCATTTCCCAATAATTTTTTACAATCTTACATTCCCACCACATAGGAAATGTGTATTTGGAATCTCCAGGGAAAGATGTATATGGCGATAAACATCTGCCAGTGTACTTCAGCAGATATTTGTTCTGTGTAACTGGGGTATGGGGGCATGGAGGATTGTAAAAAAAGCGTTGGGAAGTCCAAGGTGCGCACAGAGAAATGTGGAAACTAAACGAGTTGGATTTGGGCGGTTTTACATACATAATCATTTTATTTGTGTATTGACTTTCCATAATTATAACCATGCTCAAGGCAGCTTATAGCATGAGGGGAAAATATACACAATTCTCACAAAATCTGTGATGTGTTAGAGTTGCCTAGGTGTGACTTTTTTCAAGGGAGTGTGTGGTAATGGGAAGCATGGTTGCTGAAATACCTCTGAATAACTCTCGCTGTGTTTCCTTTCAGGAGTGGAAAAAAATATGCAAGAAGTGATTGGACACATCACAGAAGGCGTTTGCCGGCCTCTGAAGGTGGGTGGAGTATGTTGGTTTATGTGTGCCCTTGGAATAGGTAAAGGTAAAGGGACCCTTGACCATTAGGTCCAGTCGTGGCCGACTCTGGGGTTGTGGCACTCATCTCGCTTTATTGGCTGAGGGAGCCAGTGTACAGCTTCCGGGTCATGTGGCCAGCATGACTAAGCCGCTTCTGGCAAACCAGAGCAGTGCACGGAAACGCCGTTTACCTTCCCGCTGGAGCGGTACCTATTTATCTACTTGCACTTTGACATGCTTTAGAACTGCTAGGTTGGCAGGAGCAGGGACTGAGCAACAGGAGCTCACCCCATCGTGGGGATTCAAACCGCCGACCTTCTGATCGGCAAGTCCTAGGCTCTGTGCTTCAACCCACAGTGCCACCCGCGTCCCCATTGGAACAAGACTGCATTTATTAACAAGGTGCATTTCCCCCTATAGTCTTATAAAAAGCAAGAAAAAGCAGGACAAAACTTGTTGGAAACTTGTCCATTGTTCCCGTTATATATTTCATCAAAACAATACTGGCTACTTATTTCCCTAAATTATTTTGTCATGATGAATTTTCCAACCTCATTTGAAGCAAAACTTCTATCACTTCGTGCCTCAAGTTACTGGTCCCAGAAAAACAGGCATGATTAATGGGAGGGCCAAGACTACAGCCCTGGCTTCCTGCTTCTGAATACTGGGATGGGGCAGGGGCAGGATGAGGGCATCGGCAGAACCAATCCAGCAGTTCTGCTGCCGCACCCGTACCTCCCAACCCCCCACCCTTAATGTCTTACCTGCTTGAAGACAACATAAAAAAGGTCAAGGGACCCCTGACCATTAGGTCCATTTGTGGCCGACTCTGGGGTTGTGGTGCTCATCTCGCTTTATTGGCCAAGGGAGCTGGCGTACAGCTTCTGGGTCATGTGGCCAGCATGACTAAGCCGCTTGTGGCGAACCAGTTCAGCGCACGGAAATGCCGTTTACCTTCCTGCCGGAGCGGTACCTACTGTATTTTTCGCTCTATAGGACGCACCCGACCATAGCATGCACTGTGTTTTAGAGGGGGAGAACAAGAAAAAATATATATCTCCCTCTCTGCGCAGCACCCCTTCAGTGAAGTGGCAGGAGAAACAGAGCCCCTTCCATTTCTCCTCCCGCTTCGCGGAAGGGGCGTTGCGCAGAGAGGGGAAAGCTGCGCAGCGCCTCTCCAGCGAAGCGAAGCCAGGAGAGCGAGAGGGATTGGTGCGCACCGACCCCTCTCGCTCTCCAGGCTTCAGCGAAAGCAACTCGAAGCCTCCGGAGTGCGGCAGGAGCGCTCCCACTGCGCTTCGGAGGCTTCGCGTTGCTATCGCTGAAGCCATGGAACCTGCATTTGCTCCATAAGATGCACACACGTTTCCCCTTAATTTTTGGAGGGGAAAAGTGCGTCTTATAGAGTGAAAAATACAGTATTTATCTACTTGCACTTTGACGTGCTTTCGGACGGCTAGGTTGGTAGGAGCAGGGACTGAGCAACGGGAGCTCACCCCGTAGTGGAGATTCGAACTGCCGACCTTCTGATCGGCAAGTCCTAGGCTCTGTGGTTTAACCCACAGCGCCACCCGCATCCCTTTTGAAGACAACATAGACGCTGTCTTCATAATGGGATGTGAAAGAATTCTACATAATTGATGTTTGTGTCAATCTGTTTTCTCAGGTTAGGATTGAACAGGTGATCGTAGCTGAACCAGGAGCAGTCCTGCTGTATAAAATTTCTAATCTTCTCAAATTTTACCACCACACCATCAGGTAAACAGAAACAAAAGAGAAAAGCAAATTCCTTGCTTTGCATTACAGTGTTTAGAATTTCAGAGCTGGTAGAGTTGGTTTTGCATTGAGCAGGAAAATAACAAATTCCTAGTACTGCTTTTAGTAAATAAGTACTATTTATAACTTGTATTTGGAAAAAAATATTCTGATATTATCACAACAATACCCTTTCGATGTGCTTTCAATTCACTTTGCTCCTTCTTTAAAATTACATCCCTGGACTCCTGCCCTCTTCAAGCAATGATAGTACCATTATGCTCAGCTTCCGAGGCAACTAGTCAGACCATAATTGGCCATTAGAAAAAGCATCCTTTTGCAAAACACTCAGCTTTGCAGTTTTCCTGCAGAATTTCTAAAAGGAGAATAGAATCACTTCACTTTACTTCAAAGCCATGTATTCCTTGATGAGAGCAAGTACATGTTCCACATTGTAAAGGACATTAAACCAGCTGTTCCACATAAGAAGAAGAAGAAGAGTTTGGATTTGATATCCCGCCTTTCACTCCCCTTCAGGAGTCTCAAAGCGGCTAACATTCTCCTTTCCCTTCCTCCCCCACAACAAACACTCTGTGAGGTGAGTGGGGCTGAGAGACTTCAGAGAAGTGTGACTAGCCCAAGGTCACCCAGCAGCTGCATGTGGAGGAGCGGAGACGCGAACCCGGTTCCCCAGATTACGAGTCTACCGCTCTTAACCACTACACCACACTGGCTCACTTATAAGGGAAATAAGTTATGGAACTAAATAATATCAGCATCTAGCAGAGCCATAGGAAGCCTCGGGCCCTCCATATGTTGTAAGATTGCATCTCCATTCAGCTCCAAGCAACATAACCAGTAGTTAGGGATGATAGTAATAATCCAACAACATTTGGAAGGCTGCACGATTCCCACTCCTCAGAGTTTGGTGGCCTCTTGCCTTTAAAGGTAAAGGGACCCCTGACCATTAGGTCCAGTCGTGGCCGACTCTGGGGTTGTGGTGCTCATCTCGCTTTATTGGCTGAGGGAGCTGGCGTACAGCTTCCAGGTCATGTGGCCAGCATGACTAAGCCGCTTCTGGCGAACCAGAGCAGCACACAGAAATGCCGTTTACCTTCCCGCCGGAGCGGTACCTATTTATCTACTTGCACTTTGACGTGCTTTCGAACTGCTAGGTTGGCAGTAGCAGGGACCGAGCAACGGGAGCTCACCCCTTTGTGGGGATTCGAACCGCTGACCTTCTGATCGGCAAGCCCTAGGCTCTGTGGTTTAGACCACAGCGCCACCCGTGTCTCCTCTTGCCTTTAGAGAACACCTAAAAGCACCAGGCAGTACAGTGGTGCCCCGCAAGACGAACGCCTCGCAAGACGGAAAACCCGCTAGATGAAAGGGTTTTCCGTTTTGGAGGTGCTTCGCAAAACGAATTTCCCTATGGGCTTCCTTCGCAAGACGAAAGCCCATAGGGAAATCTCCGGGACAGCGGGGAAGCGCAGCGCGTCTTCCGCACTGTCCTCGGACCTCCTCCCGCCGCCAGGCTTCGGAAGGCTGCTCCGAAGCCTGGCGAGGGGGCGGAGAGACCTTCTCCCCGCGCCAGGCTTCGGAAGGCTGCTCTGAAGCCTGCGGGGGGGCGGAGACCTCCTCCCGCCGCCAGGCTTCGGAGCAGCCTTCCGAAGCCTGGCGGGGGGGGGCGGAGAGGTTTTTTAAAAAACCCCGGGACAGCGGGGGACTTCTCCGCTGTCCGGGGCGATTTTAAAATGCCGCCCGGCAGCATTTAAAAAAACCCGGGACAGCGGGTTTAAAATCGCCCCGGGCGGCGCGTTTCTCCGCTATCCCGGAGGGCTTTTGAAGGCAGGCGGGGGGAGCAAAGACTTTCGCCCCCCGCCCACCTTCAGAAGAGGTCCTGGACCTCTTCTGAAGGCGGGCGGGGGGGCAAAAGTCTTTGCTCCCCCCTGCCTGTCTTCCCGGGAGAGCGGAGAAACGCAGCGTGTTTCTCCGCTGTCCCGGAGGGCTTTTGAAGGCAGGCGGGGGGGAGCAAAGACTTTCGCCCCCCGCCCGCCTTCAGAAGAGGTCCAGGACCTCTTCTGAAGGCTGGCGGGGGGCAAAAGTCTTTGTCCCCCCTGCCTGCCTTCCCAGGGGCTTTTAAATCGCCCCGGACAGCGGAGAAGTCCTCCGCTGTCCCGGGGCGATTTTAAAATGCCGCCCGCCAGCATTTTAAGATCGCCCCGGACAGCGGAGAAGTCCTCCGCTGTCCCGGGGTTTTTTAAAATGCTGGGGGTGGGAAGAAAAGCCCTTGTCCCCCCCCCCCAGCCTTCAGAAGAGGTCGGGGGACAGACTGTCCCCGGACCTGGTCTGAAGGCGGTTTCCATAGGAACGCATTAATTGATTTTCAATGCATTCCTATGGGAAACCGTGCTTCGCAAGACGAAAAACTCGCAAGAAGAAAAAACTTTCGGAACGAATTAATTTCGTCTTGCGAGGCACCACTGTGTACTTGGTGCTACGTTTTCAGAAAACATTTTGTAGCATTTTATTGGGCTAAATAGCTGGACTTTGATATATGTCTGCTTTGGTTATCGTGAAATTTCTTACTGCCTCTCTCTCTCTCTCTTCTCTCTCTCTCAATTTCCAGTAATATTGTGGGGAACACCGCAGCCATGCTGTTAACTACAATGGAAGAGATGCATGTCTTGAGTAAAAAAATATTCTTCAACAGTTTGAACCTTCATGCAAGCAAACTCATGGATAAGGTCTGTTTCAGGGGTTAGTCAACTCTCTCCCCCTTCCCTACTTCTGCAGCTGTAGGTTCTGTAGCATTGTCAGTGGACCCCCTGTGCAGGTATCAAGCTTGGAAGTCCAGATTCTGTACTATCAAAGTGATCGCCAACCTCACTGTTGGCTTTTGAATTTCATCTGTGCACCGTTGCCTTCTTAGCACCATGTGAAACTCCCTGGTCCATCAGCATCTTCGCCGCCAAGTCTCGCCTGTGCTGCTCACCAGACTTCTCTGCCCTTTCCTCATTATGCACCTTCCCCCTCCCACCAGCCGATGCCGTTTACTTCAGTGCCACCTCAAAACTGGTGCTTAAAGCCTTTTGCACTAAAAGAAGTGAAACGAGGCCACTGAGTGACAAACTTAGTATACTTTGCTGAGGAACACCTATCTGAAATGAATGCAGGTCAACAAATCAGTAAACTCGCACCGCGTATATTTGCGTTGGGACGCTAAAGAGAAAAGGTTACCAGTTATTATTCTCTAACTGTTACTACTCAGAGCTCATACATTCTGGTGTAGTCTGTCACTGCTACGCTATGTAGACTATGCAATCATAGTTGCTGTTACCACCATTGCTGATCCACAGTGGTCACTATGAAAATCCAGCAAGGTTTTTACAGCAGTGGTCTAGTGTGCAAGGTGTTTCTTAGTTCTGCCCTCAGTTCTCAGTTCTGTCCAGTTCTGTGGGTAGTAGGAGATGGGTGATTTACTCAATGGGCATGGTAAACCTGTTGACGACTGTTAACGACTTCATTGGTCCTACAGGAAAAAGCAAGGGATAGTATGCAGATGACCAAAAATAACTTTAGCATATGTAAGAATCCAATATCTCAGTATCTGGTCCAATATTCAGACTCCAAGAATCCAATATCTCAGTATCTGGTCCAATATTCAGACCAGGTCTCTCCATAGTTTTCAGTTTAGTAATAAGTTGTAATTTGTTTTGTAGGTTGAACTGCCACCTGCAGATCTTGGCCCAAGCTCTGCCCTGACTCAGACCCTTGCTCTGTTGCGGGAGGTTCTAGCATCGCACGACTCTTGCGTCATTCCTTTGGATACTCGCCAAGCTGACTTTGGGCAGGTAAAATTGGTTGAAATTGCAAGGAGCCACAGCAACTTGAGGGAAGGGCTTTTGTGGGATGGGATGACAGAAACTGTGATTCAGACAATTAAATTCCACGCTTGGTTTCCCAGCGGAAAAAGAGGAGAAATGCTGCTGGATCCGTGGCAATTTCTAATTATAGCAGAAGTGGAATTGTTTTGCGTAGCTCACGATCAAGAATAGACAGTGGTGAGCAGCTCCTGCAATTATGTCTGGGGCTCTCCTGCGAGAGAAAACATTGTTTTATGTTTGGCAGCAGAGATGTCTAACAATGTCACATGGGTAGATCATGTGACCTAGCCCCCACCTCACCTCATTGAGTGCTGGAGACTCTTCCTCTCTCAATTATTCTCTGTTTTTGCACAGGGCAGGGCAGGTTTCTGCTCTTTGCTAGCTATCCCTTGACCTCAGGCCTTATCTTTTCCTGTTTACCTCATTTTAAGCGCCATCTTCACTGTTTCTCTTCTGTTTAAACAACAGTGATGAGCAGTCTCAGCTTTATTCTGTGGCCCTGTGACGTGATCCTGAGCTTGGATGTCCACTACGCAAGGCACCCCAGACAGTTGCTTGTTGAGCGTTGCATTGAAAACCAGGGAGCTGCAGCCTGCTCTTTTGCTGTGCTGCTCCTGATAGGAAGCTGTTGGAACGTTTGGTTTAAATGTCCAGCCTCCTTGTAATTTTCTCAGAGCAAGGTTTGGACATCATAAGCAAGCATCACCAATTGCCTAAGCTGTTGCGTCTGCATCAGGCTGGCAATAACTTGCGCAACTTCCCTGCGCAACATCCTTTTCAGACTTTTAACAAGCCAGCTGACTGTGCAGTAGACAGCGCAAGTGGCTGGCAATGCTTCTTTGTAGCGCCTGAAGCTCCTTTCGGAGGCAAATGACATTTCCCCCGTTTCAGCCTCATTCCTCCGCTTTGGGAGATGTAGAGAAAGGGGAATGGACAAGAATTCCCACCAGTTACAGCATTTTTTGCACGCTCTTCTTCCCGTTAGGTTCTCTCTTGTGTGCTGGATCCCCTGTTGCAGATGTGCACTGTGTCTGCCAGTAACTTGGGGTCTGCTGACATGGCAACCTTCATGGTGAATTCGCTTCATATGATGAAGACAACGCTGGCTCTGTTTGAATTCACAGATAAACGGCTAGAAATGTTACAGTACCAGGTAAACGTCCAGTCAACCTCCTAATGTTTTCTTTGCTATCAAACATTAACAGAGAATGCCGTATGTGTCTGTGTATTAGACAAGGTTTTTTGACTCAAAGATCATGTCAAAAAACTGGGGTTGTCCAATACACGGATAGTGGCATGGGGGAGAAGCGGCGCTCCCCGCAGCCAGCCAGTTGGCGGGAGTGCAACTTCCCCCAATGCTGTAGCGAGCGGGAAACACTTCCTAGATTGTTTCCCGCACACAGCGGCATGGAGGAAGTTGCGCTCTCACCAACTGGCTGGCTGGGGGGAGCGCAACTGCCCCTGACCTAGGTAGTGTTTCCTGGTGGGGGGGGGGGGAAAGCTCAACAACTTTGGTCCATCATGGCTGACTCTGGGGTTGTGGCGCTCATCTTGCTTTATTGGCCGAGGGAGCCGGCGTACAGCTTCCGGGTCATGTGGCCAGCATGACTAAGCCGCTTCTGGCGAACCAGAGCAGCGCACGGAAACACCGTTTACCTTCCCGCTGGACCGGTACCTATTTATCTACTTGCACTTTGACGTGCTTCCGAACTGCTAGGTTGGCAGGAGCAGGGACCGAGCAACGGGAGCTCACCCCGTCGCGGGGATTCGAACCGCCGACCTTCTGATCAGCAAGTCCTAGGCTCTGTGGTTTAACCCACAGTGCCACCCGCGTCCCTTAAACCATGGTTTGGCTTGGATTTTCATCCAGATCAGGTCTCATGGCTTGACTCCAGACAAACCGTGAGCTGTAGCCAAGCTTTACCATATGTTTGACAACCTGTGGTTTGTCCGGGAGAGCTGAACCATGAGTCTGTGGGGGTTTTTTGTTTGGCTTTTTGCCTTGGGGGCAATCCAAACCCCTGGGCAGCAATGGCAGAACTTAATGGAGCATCACAGCCCTGCCACTTGCACTAACCAGGTTGGAAGGGCGGGTATGTGCGGCAACGCATCCTTACTATGCTGGTTTCAGATCCAGGACCTTTCGGCGGTTGAGAGCCAGTGTGGTGTAGTGGTTAAGAGCGGTAGTCTCGTAATCTGGGGAATCGGGTTCGCTTCCCCGCTCCTCCACATGCAGCTGCTGGGTGACCTTGGGCCAGTCACACTTCTCTGAAGTTTCTCAGCCCCACTCACCTCACAGAGTGTTTGTTGTGGGGGAGGAAGGGAAAGGAGAATGTTAGCCGCTTTGAGACTCCTTCGGGTAGTGATAAAGCAGGATATCAAATCCAAACTCCTCCTCCTCCTCCTCTTCTTCTTCTTCTTCTTCTTCTTCTTCTTCTTTCTTTCTTTTCCCACCCCATATTTCCTCCAGCAGTAGCTTCCACCCACCTGTTGGTTGTGAATATGCATTGGAGCATTCACTGCTCTGACTCCCCAATGGGCAGCAGCCACTCACACCAGCCAATGAAAGCTGGTTTATCTGCTGTTTAGGGGCAGATGGAGGGAAACCTCTGTTTCTTCCAAATCTTTAGTATAGTGGCTCAAGTTACAGTGGACTTAATTCGTTCCGGGGGTCCTTACGTACCCCGAAAAGTCCACAAGATGAGGCGCCGCTTCTGCGCATGTGCACTGTGTGATAGAGCGCTTCTGTGCGCAGCACGCGGAGTGCTTCTGTGCATGTGCAAAGCGTGCAGAGCACTTCTGTGCCTGCATGCACGGCGAAACCCAGAAGTATACACACTTCCAGGTTTGACGCGTTCACAACGCGAAAGTTACGTTATCTGAAGGTAACATAACCCAAGGGACTACTGTATTATTATTATTATTATTATTATTATTATTATTATTGGCCCATAAGTAATGCGCTTTGCATGCACTTAATTTCGTAACATAGTCAAAATGCTTCCGTTGCATTCAGTGACTTTTTTTCCAAATTGCTTTCGCTGACAAGCTGTTTCTTCAGTTACCATTCCGATAAGTAAGAAATGTCTTCCTTCCGTCTTTTAGATTGAAGCGCACTTGGATACCCTTATAAATGAACAAGCTTCCTATGTATTGAATAGAGTGGGCCTGAGTTACATCTATAACATTGTACAGCAGCACAAACCAGAGCAGGTAAGCAATGATTTTGGGGAGAAATGCATATAGACCACTTCTGTTCCAAACTATGAGTAAATAAAACTGTTGTGGTGCAGTTAAGATGTAATCTGATTTATGTGCCAAGGCGGGTGATGTTAAATTGTCGAGAATAATCTTTTGGAGAATATTCTCGATTAATGAGAATATTAGAGAATTTTCATTTAAAATAGGAGAATATTCCTTTTAATGCATTGAAAATGATATAATTTTAATGCATTGAAAATGATATACCGTAATTAGTTAATATATATGTTTATTATTCCTCCCCCAGCCCTTTGAACAGCAGAAAAGCTACTATTTAACGCCCCCCTCAGTTTCAAAAGAGACTTGCTGTGTGGCACAGAGGTGCCTTCTTTTTGAGATACACAAACCAAGAGCACTCCTTAACACTGATGGTTAAATATTTATTTATTTGCTTATCACTGCTGTTTTTTTAGGGTTCCTTGGCAAATGTACCCAGTATGGATTCCATGTCATTAAAAGCTGCAATGGTAAGATACTGGAATTTAATTTGTAGCTGTATTTATTTATTTTTTAGGTGGGGGAAAGTAATTATTAAATAGAAACAAGGGCAAGAGGAGGCAGGGGGTAAACAAGGAAGCAATGTACCCTTTTTCCCAGTGACATGTACTTTGGCTCAGTTAGTGTATGGGGATGATAGGGGTATCTTCATAGTCTCAAGGAAGTTTAGAACTGAATGACTTGCCTCTCTTCCAGCTGTTCCACTCCAAAGCAATAAATGGTACTGTGAAGGAACCTTGAAGTATGCCCTCATTATTATTTTTTTGCAAAAGTTGAGCCAAATTGTGCATTCGCTTTGGTTTAATTTTGACGTTTTTCAGAACAGTATTTTCATTGTGCTAAGAGGCCTGATACACAGCTACATTGCATGAAAATTAAACGAGCCCCTAAAGTTTTAATGAGACACCACATTGGTGCAGATAACCGAAAAGAATGTTGGCTGTTTATTTGTGTGGTCTTTTTGACACAAACCCTTAGCACAGAAAATTGCTTTGACTAAAGTGAGCATATTCAGTGGTATCTTAGGCCATGTAACAAAGATACACAACAAATTCTATTCTGGTGCAAAGTTCTGTTGTATCGTTTTGTCCAAAAGTTGTTTCTAGTAATTGAGAACGGTGGCATTGGTTTAATTTGAGCAGCTGAAATAGATCAGGCTTCCTCAACCTCAGCCCTCAAATGTTGTAGGCCAAAAATGATCCCTAGATAGCAGAAACCAGTGGTCAGGGATGATGGGAATTGTAGTCTCAAAACATCTGGAGGGCCGAGGTTGAGGAAGCCTCTAAATAGATGATAGACTTGCACACACAGGCATTAAGAGTCAGGGTTAAGGAGCAGGGGAGAAGCAGACACGAGGAAGAGGGGCTCCTGACAGGGAGGACAGGCTAGGAAACACAACCCTGCTTCCCATCCTCTTGTGCACGACTAGCCCTCAAACTCAGACCTCCATCGTAGATGGAAATCAAGCGGAGCAGGTAGCCGTCTCCAGCTGCCCGTAGTCCCATCCTCTTTGCTTCCCTTCTCCTTTGGTGCCAAATTTAGACACGGAGCTCAACGCATCACTCTGAAACACATCAGGGCTTCTCCCAACCCCTGTAAATAAAGGTTTGTGGTGGGGTCTGATTTTCATAAGGATCACAGCAGGCAGGGTGGAGAAGGTCAACCACCCCAGCCACAGCCATTCGATCCACCATGAAGCTTCTCTCTTGATTCCAGAAAAATTGGGTGAGGTGGTTAGTGCCTAATGCCTGTTCTTCCTCTGTTCGCGTTAGGTCCAGTTTGATCGTTATTTGTCGGCTCCCGATGGGCTGCTAATGCCACAGATAAACTTTCTTCTAAGTGCTACCGTGAAGTAAGCGTTTTGGCTTTGGGTTTGATTCTTCGGTTGTAGTTTCTGATCCAAATCAGTTGGTCCCTTACCTTTCCCGCCCCGACCTGGCCACAATGATCCATGCGATGGTCACCTCCCAGCTTGACTACTGTAATTCGCTCTACGCGGGGCTGCCCTTGAAGCTGTCCCAGAAACTCCAGCGGGTGCAGAATGCTGCAGCGAGGCTCCTCACGGGGTCTCTGCCATGGAAGCATATTCACCCAGTGCTTTTCCAGCTGCACTGGCTCCCGGTGGAGTACAGGGTCAGATTTAAGGTGCTGCTTTTGACCTTTAAAGCCCTTCATGGCCTAGGACCCTCGTACCTACAGGACCGCCTCTCCCGGTATGCCCCACAGAGGACCTTAAGGTTCTTAAATAGCAACACCCTAGTGGTCCCGGGCCCTAAGGAAGTTAGATTAGCCTCAACCAGAGCCAGGGCTTTTTCGACACTGGCTCCAGCCTGGCGGAACGCTCTGCCTCATGAGACCAGGGCCCTACAGGATCGGATTTCTTTCCGCAGGGCCTGTAAGACAGAGTTGTTCTGCCTGGCCTTCGGCTTGGAGCCAATTTGATTCCCTCCCCTTCTTTCTTTTTTTCCTTTCTCCTCCTGTGATGAGGCTGCATTTTAATGTTTTAATGTTTGACAACCGAGGCATGGCTTCCAATTGGTTGCAGGAGCTTCCTGCACTCAGCGGAAGCTGCATCAGACGTTCGGCTTCCAAAAAACGTTCAAAAACCGGAACACTTACTTCCGTTTTTGCGGCGTTTGGGAGCCAAAACGTTCCGAAACGGAGGCGTTCGGGATCCGAGGTTTGACTGTACTAATTTCTGCAAAGGTGCAGAAGAATGCAAAGAGATATTTTGTTCTCAACACTGTGTTTTTGTTTTGTTTTAGACAGCAGATAATAAAACTGTCCACGGAACTAGTCTGCAGAGCCTATAGCGAAGTATATTCAGCTGTAATGAATCCAGACAATGGCTATAAAGATCCAGAAACAATATTGCCCAGATCTCCTCATCAGGTTCAAGCACTTCTCTCCTAACCTTAGCCAAAATGGAGTTTCTCACTGTTTAAGGTCAGAATATTTTCATGCAAGTACAAGATAGGCAATGGCTAATTGTTTCTGTTTTTGAAATCTTGGTGGAAGTTTGGGTGGATATATGCTTGGGCTACAGCTGTGTACAAAGTTAGTCTGATGAGATCCCATTGACTTGAATGGGATTTCTGCTGCCTTATTATGTGTAGTACTGCAGACATATTGGTAGACAGAGGCAAGAGGAATTTTCAGATATTAAATTATTTCCATGTTGTTATAAACATGAAAAGAGCTTCTTTGGGAAAGAAAGAAATTTTTTTAAATATAAATTGTGTACACCCAAAAAGCTTCCAAATTCTAGTGACTTAGTCAATATTGGGTTTTGTTCCACCATTCTTCCGCTGACAGTTTGGAGGAAGAGATATCAGCATTGAGAACAAAGGGAGACGGTTTGGATTGGATAAGGGACGAATGTGTGGGTGCTTCGATGCGTTGCTTTCTGTCATGGACACTCTTAGCAAAAATAAAAACCCAAGTCTAATCTTTGAAGATCTAATTTATATCACTGGCTAAATACTAGTAGGTTTTTGCCATGTATCCGTTACCCAGTTGATGGTTGCCTGGGAGTAAGTCCTGTTGAACTCAGCGGAACTCACTGCACTGTTAATAATGTAAGCAAACTCTGCTCCATCAGATCCACATTGGTCTGTGACACCTCATGATATCCACATTGGTGACTATTGCACCGTGGAGAATCAGGAAAGTGTGCATACAAACCTGACTTTAAGAAACCTGAACCTTAACCTGCCTGGTAAATACCATTCCCCTGAGGCTACGTGTCTTTTTAGTTTGGTGTTTGTACTGATTGGAAAAAGTGAATAAAAACAACCACACCATTCCCCTGAGGGTCTTGCATTGATCATTTTATAGAATCATAGAGTTGGAAGGGACCCCAAGAGTAATCTAGTCCAACCCCCTGCAATAATGACTCTTGATCCTCTTGGTTGTAGTCAGAGCCATCTTTCCCATAGGGCTTAGTGGTGCGTTGTGCCAGGGCGCCGGCCTCTCAGGGGCACCCCAGCCAGTGGTGGAGCTGCGCAGCTTTGCCAGAGGCTTCCCTTTCCCTGCACGCCTGCCAGCTGCGCCCCGTTAACCATATGGCTGGCAGGCATGCAACTTGCCTCCCAAGCCTCTGCGGGAGGAGAGCGATCCCTGCAGAGGCTTAGGATGGCAGCTGCGCCCTGCCAACTATATGGCTGGCAGGCACGCAGTTTCCCTCCCAAGCCTCTGTGGGGATCACTCTCCCGCAGCAGCATGGGAGACAGTTGGGCCCCCCCATGGCCGGCAGTGTGCAGCTTCACCCCCCCCCCATCCGTGGTAATTAGGGGCGCTGGGCGGATATTTGCACCCCGGCGCCGCATCTGCTAAAGATGGCCCTAGTTGCAGTCCTGTACACAATTACCTGGGGGTATGTTCCTGTTGAACTCATTGGGGCTTGCTTCAAAGTAGCCATGCATAGAATTGTACTGTTAATATCAATTACGTTTCTAGGGTTGTTGAACACAGAGAAATCTGCAGTCGGTTTTTTAATTTAATTTATGGGTTGGGTATTTCCAATTGTCTTTAAACTTGATCAAATGAACTAACAAATGTTTCATGCACCGGATCAATGATTAAAGTAAATAAAACACATAACTGTGTGTCTAATATGTCTGGAAAAACTACAAAAAAACCGTAGGAAGGTAACCTGGTAAGTCCAAGTTTAGGTACCTGTAGGAAAACACACATGGGTAGCTGCAAAATTTAGAATGTTAGGAGATTTACTTTAATAAGTAATGCTGTTTAAAAGTAAAAAAATATAATTTCTCCCACTTGTTGCCGGTACACCTAGAGCTGGTTGGTTCCAAAGATTTGTTCCGAAAGGCATATGAACACTTGCTGCTTCATGGAATCCATTCCAATTTTTTTAAATTAGTTTCGATTGGGGTAAACTCCCTTAGCTTGTATTGCTCCCAGGATTAGCTCACAAGGAACAGGGTGCATTTCCACCATCAAAACACGACTGTGGTGTTAAGATAATAGTGCCACCCAACTGGCTTCTACTCATTGTTTGGGTAGTGTCGCCACAACTGCTAATTCATTGGATCTTGCCCCTCATTTTGCAGCGCACCAGTTTAATTTAGCATCAGTGCCGTAGACCTGATCAGCTTCACTTTAGTAAGCCAATGAATAGCTTTTAATCTGGGGAGGTCAGGAGGATGATGATAACGATGGCGATAAAATTAATAATAGGCTTCAGGGGAAATAAAGAATGTTTTCCCCACTTTCTTTGGTTTAGATGTGTTTATATGCAGAACCTCCCAGCTGTTGGAACAGTGGAAGTTTTGCCTTTGTCCGCTGTAGGATATTGTAAATAAAATGTTTTTCTGAACTTTGAATACCAGCAGTGGGCATAAAAAATTCTAAAGAGGCACTGACGTTATTGGAAGCAGATTTGGCACTACTAGTGCAAAGCTTATCAGCGTTCCAGGGGCCCTCTAAATACATTTGTAAACGACTAGCATATATGGAAGTGAGCAATTTCCTGTAAATCAATGTACTTTGCTTTAGACTTTGACTTCACAACACGACTACCCTTGAAAACAAACGACACACTCATTATTTTTGACCTCAGCTTGAAGAATCATATGCCGCTCTCCCCTTTCCCATCTTGTACTAAGAGGAAATTTCAATTAAACTTCAATTAGACTAAATAAATGGTATAAATGGAAGACCTGAAAATATAAGCCCTGGACGAAACAAATCTTTGGATGCCTTAATTAATAGCTAAAGAACAAATGCTTTTAAAGGTAGGTCAGAAATTAAGAGCTGTATGGTTGCTTTTGACTCTTCTGTTCCACTCCTGCTCTTTGAGTTTCAACAGGGGCTTATTCTGTCCATTAGGGGAAGGAAAATGCAGTCAGCATACGGCTGTAAACATCCAGCAACAAAATGAAGAGACAAAGCCTATTAGCTTTCCTGAGAGCAGGCTAGGGTTCCTTTCCGGTAGAAGTACACTGCTAGATATGGTTCCCATATAGTTCAGGAAGTCAATGGTTACGTCAACTTGCATGCATAATAGGAGTTCAAATAAAGACCTCGGCATTTTTCATCCATTTAATTTGTTTATTTTAATGCCATCCCAGAAAGCTGGGGCAGGCAAATGGAAAAAGCATTTAAACCTGCGAACAATATAAACAAAATCAGTTTTCGGGCACTAAAATTACATGAAAATTCACTAACCTATCATCAGCTTATCCCTGACCCACACAAGCCAGCAAAAAGAGATAAGCTTCTGAAATATGCTCTCGCTTGGAAAGCAGCCAGTTTTCCTGGAAATGGGTGTTCCATAAACAGAAGATACCTCTCGGTGCATTTTAGCTGTTTGAACATGGAATCGTTACAGGGCCAGCTTCGATCACCCTGGGATTGTGAAGGAGCCTAGGTAATGGTCCCGAAAGTGTCTAGACTGCTTTAGGGCTTTAGAAGATCAACAGCAGAGCTTTGAATTGAATAAGAAATGCAACAGGAGCGCTTGTGTAATATGCCTTCAGCATCCCTCCACTTTTAGGAGACAAAGAACCTCACTGTGCACTGGTTGAAGCTTCTAAGCAGCCTATGATGACCAGGTAGCAAATCTTAAAATGACCAGATGCATGGCTTTAAGTTGCCAGGTAAAAAATGGTAGCCTACTCAGGAGATTGAAGTCAGAGAAAGATGCTTCAGGCCATCACCCAACCCAGGCGTTGCGGATTCGGCAATTAATCTTGGAGCTAAATGGGAAAGGGACCCCTGACCATTAGGTCCAGTCGTGACCGACTCTCGGGTTGCGGCGCTCATCTCGCTTTATTGGCCGAGGGAGCTGGCATACAGCTTCTGGGTCATGTGGCCAGCATGACTAAGCCTCTTCTGGCGAACCAGAGCAGCGCACGGAAACGCCGTTTACCTTCCCGCCGGAGTGGTACCAATTTATCTACTTGCACTTTGACGTGCTTTCAAACTGCTTCCAGTGGGGAAGGGGTGCAGGGCTCGGAGGATGCAAGGGGGAGCCAAGACACCGTGCATGAGCAAAGCGGGGGGGGGGGAGGCAGGTCCCCCTTTGCCCACGCCCTCTCTGCACAGTAGGTTTACGCACAGAGAGGGGAGGCGTAGGATGGGGGTCAAGAGACTACTCTGCTGGGGAAGGTTTAAGGACCGCCCACTCCCAGATTCTGCTAGTGACTGAGCAAGACATGGAACTGAGACGCCCTGCATTGTGAATGTTTTTGCACCGATAATAAAACCTTTGAAAAGACCAGTGGGGGTCTAGCCTGTTCGCTCTCGAGCAACCACGCCGGCGCACATAACAGTTAGCTTTTCTACGAAGGTGGTTTCCCAAACGATTTGGTACCACTGGTCCATGTTCGTCCCTGAAAGGTCTGGCTATGAGGCTTCTGGCTGCTGAGAGGAGGGGAGGGAATGCCTAATTAAAATACATGCTGATGGGGATGGATGAATCCGTTTTGGTTTCTCTCACCTTTCTTGTTCCATTCACAAGTTCACCACCTGCCCACATTGGTTTGCAGTTTCAGTTTTAGAAAGTCTGCAGAAATTCATCCGCATCTTAGTCTGAATTTCTCCAAAACGACGCTTTTATTTGCATGCAATGTCCCCTAATGTATTTATATGTGACTTTCATTACTGTACACATTCTACACACTCTTTCCCCTAATATCCATATTTTTGCCCCCCTTTTTTGTTGTGGAACTGCATCACAAAATTCAGAGAAGTTCGAATTTCGAAGGAGAGCTGCGTTTCAGACTACGTATTGCATCAGGAGTTGTAAATCAGACAGGTTAACATAAAAAGGCAAACCATTCACATTAAAATGCAAACCAGAAATGCAAGGTGCATTTCTGCCCCATCCCTTGGTGGTAACTGCTTTGCTTTTTTTTTTTAAAAAAACCACCACCAGTTGACTGACATAATTGTCCATCTTATTACCAGTTTTTAACCTAACTTAGGTCATTGTTGGACGCGGGTGGCGCTGTGGGTAAAAGCGCCTAGGGCTTGCCGATCGAAAGGTCGGCGGTTCGAATCCCCGCGGCGGGGTGCGCTCCTGTTGTTCGGTCCCAGCGCCTGCCAACCTAGCAGTTCGAAAGCCCCCCCGGGTGCAAGTAGATAAATAGGGACCGCTTACTAGCGGGAAGGTAAACGGCGTTCCGTGTGCGGCTCTGGCTCGCCAGAGCAGCGATGTCATGCTGGCCACGTGACCCGGAAGTGTCTCCGGACAGCGCTGGCCCCCGGCCTCTTGAGTGAGATGGGCGCACAACCCTAGAGTCTGTCAAGACTGGCCCGTACGGGCAGGGGTACCTTTACCTTTTTAGGTCATTGTTAGGTCTGGTTAATACCTAAATGAGATGCATTACATATAACAGGTAGGAATCAGCTAACAAGGCCTGCTAGTGGAAGCCTGTGCAAGGACTCCTGCTAGCACAACAGGGCTCCCTCCCCCCCCCCGCCAATTGGATTTGGGAGAGTCAGGAGAATCTTCAGCTGGGAGGAAAAGGGGGTATTCCATGTGTCATCTGTCATGCTGAAATCCTTGGCTAATGGAATGATTGCCTAGTGCTATGGCGAATTATTTCCCCCGTATTCCTATAGCAACTCTCAGTTCTGACCGCTAGTTTGGATGCCCATGGTTGGAAAAAGTTTGCTTTCAGACCTCTCTTGCCCTCGTGATCCTGGCAAGGAAAGCACACCGCTGTTGGCTCACCCTCCTGATAACTTTCCCCCTTGTTCTCGAGCAGCCAAGAAGAGAAGGAACTTTAAATTGCTGGGTGTTTGCTTCCGTCTCCTCCTCAACGTCTTGGCTGCTTT